TAGTATTTTGAGACAAATTTGGAAAATGTGACCTTAATTGGAATGTTCAGAACTGCTAGCCCAAACATGGCATCATGGAAATTTAAAATAGCCATTCATCCAAAGTATGTAAGGAATTATTGGATTATTAAAAAAAGACAAACAGCAGGTTCTCTATGGATGGGATAAAAAAACCTCCCTTTGACTCTCAGGGCTAATCTAAGAATTCAAACTAGAACTGATTAGCTCAGAGAACTGCAACTCTTAAAAACAAACAAACAATACTACATAGTGCCACTGTTCTAGAACAGGACAGATATCAGGGTTGGGGTGAGACTGAGAAAAATTGCATAAATCATGTATTCTGCATTGAAACAGATGAGGAAGAGAACAGTTTAAAAGTAATATATGATTGGGTATTACGGTTATGACAAGAGTCCAGAATGAAGGCTGCATAGTGGAGTGTTGTCGGGTGGTGGAGGAGGATTGTATACCAGTGAAGGAATTTTTCGTTTTTCAAAGAGAAGAGCAAACTAAGGGGGAAGGATGGGCAGGGAGAAAAATGCAACAATGAATGAATAAAAATAAAAAAATCTCTGTAAATATTCATTAAAATTAATAAAATAAAGTTAAAAACAAACAAAACCAGGGATAATGTTCAAGCCCAGAAAACGGGACAGAAATATAATTGACACAGGTGAAAAAGATTGTGTGCATCAGATGTATCTTAGTTCATCACATAAAGAATTAATGAAAAGCAGCCTTCAGGTTACAGCGAAATCTAGTCTTCCTGAAAGCAGTGGATCTAGTGATGGTGGGAGATTGGAGAGATGTGGTCACCAGCCACCAGGGGTTTGATGCACTTGATTTCACTTATTCTTATTCCACAGCTGTTGCTGGTGATCCACCTGCCAGGAAACTGGCCTTAAAAGACAGTGACTTTGGCAGTCTTGCATGCTTTCTATGGCTAGCAGGTGCTATTTTTACAATGAATTGGTAAATGATATTGTATACAACATTCTTATTTGACTTAGTAGACTGTCTCAGATATCCAACCAAGCTCTGATTGTATGAGTTGGTTTTTAAAAAAATTTTATTATCTGAGTTTTATAGGCTCAAATCTTTACTCCATTTTTCAGGATTCCTATCAAAAAGAGCCTCTGATCTTTTCAGAGAAATGATGTCTCCATGCTCTGGATTCCAAAAGATTATGAAAATACAGGCTGGTAGTCTGTGCTGGCCTGGCAAAGAATAAACTTTCAGTGAATGGGAATTATAATGCCATTATTAATCTCTATTATGATATTTATTATTTATTAAATCAACTGTTTCAGGACCCTGTACCTGTTATCAGTATGTCATTATGTGGAAATTTTCCCATGCCTTAATTCCTTTACTAAACTTAAATTCTTAAATTCCTATGCCTCAATTCCTCAACTAAAATCTTAAATTCTTACATACAAGCCTCATGTATCTTAGCACATCTGAGGTGCTACTTATATTGGATGCTTTAATTTCCACATTGTTCTTGTAACATTTATCTCATAACAATTCATGATATCAAAGCAGTTTCTATGTTACTAAAGCACAATGTGTCTTACAAAGACAGAAAAGTCCCCAGTACATTGTGTGAATGAGAAAACAATATGTTGTGTCTCCCATCAAGTAAGTGAACTATTTATGTGTTTGATCTCCCTTTGAGAACTTGTCTTGAAAATTCTTTGAATCTACTATCACATGTTAGATCATCACTACATGTTTATTGAATAAATACACACATACATAGATATGATTTATATAATTTTCCCCTGCAGCTGTTGACCAGATCATTCCAAAAGTGACTGAAAAACAAATGACTCTTATAAACAAGGATGATTCTCCTATGTGAAAAGAACTTGTAACATTCACACACATTTGTTTAATGTTAGTGTTTACAAGTACCTCATGTGATACAGTTCAAATCCACCAGCTACTCTGTGGGCAAAAGATGAGCAATCTTGTCCTGTAAATATTTACACCCTCAGAAACCTGATGTAGTGTTATTATGAGTGGAAATGAACACAAAAGCAGTGGATTTATTAGATGAGTTGAGTTTATTGCATACAATTTCATGGTTTCTTTCATTTTATAAATAAGCTTTCTGGTAATAGTTAATATTGAAAAAAAAAACAAAATAACACCCCCAAAACCAAAAAATCCCCAAACAAACCAAACCCAAAACACCAAAAATAAAAACAACAGGGGAGAAACTATCATTTTACTTTTAATTATACAATAACTTGATGATGGTATGGCTAGAAAGTCAAGTCTGTCTTCTTGGTTAAAAGCAATTATCACAAGAGAAGAAAAAGCCAAAAAAATTTAATATATAATTTAAAATACAAGGCAGAAAAGAAATTTAAAGGCCAACTAGGCCTGTATTTGTTGTTTGCTTTTTTTGCTGGGGACATAAGAAGACTTGCCTGATGACACACAGCGAATTAGAGCCCAGAGCATGTGGAGTTTTTTGCTCCTATCCCAGGGGTGACCCTCTCCAGAGCACTACTGTCAGCAGGAAAAGTTTACATGAAAGGAATTCAAGGAATCTTTCTTGAACACCCTAGGTCATCTTTGGAAACACAAGAAACATTATCGTTTCAGGTACTGGTTTTACTGTGTTTTTTTTTTCTTTTGAGTTCATACTCTGCAAGTTTAGTCACCTCATAGATAATAATAGGACAAATAAAAAGACAATAAAAATGAACACTTAATAGCACTGTGGGCTTGCCTTGTTACTTCAGGGCTATGTCAATGACAACTATGATTTCTTTTCTTGAGTAAGTTATGTGTGTGCGGAGACAGGACTGCTGTGGGGTTAGTTACATGCATTACCTCAGTTATCCTGGCAGAGTTAATGCATTCCACACTGCTAGCCTGTGGCTTTGTTATGAGAAAGACTGGGACAGAACCACCTTTCTCGCTTCCTAAAGGTAGTGACTTCATGTGAGCTGTCAAATAAGTGACAGAGGAGCTGGACCACCTGAGAGCTTGAGTCTTCACCAACTTCAGAAACATATCAAGGTCAATAAAAGCCATATCATAAGAAATCTCAAGGCAAATTGAGAACCCACTCCTGACAAGTGAATTCTTTTCAAAACCAGAAAGACCCTGTGGCTGCCTATCTGTTGCATAAGATTGCATAAGAAGGGTCTTTAAAATATTCAAGAGATGAGTGAAGAGTAATGCATGAATCCCTTTAATCTATTCCATTTTTTTCCATCATGCACAGTGGGTAGAAGAATCAATGGCCAGGAAATGATGAAAGGCTCACTTTCATTGAAGAGAGAGGTCAGAGCAGTGCTTCTACACAAGGAAATCACCTAGACAGCTTTAAAAACTACTAAAGTCCAGGGCCTTCCCTGATTTGTGGGAGAGCTGAACCTCAGAGTAGGCTTGAGAGAATCACACTTTTAGAGAGTAATCTGTTTGAGCATCATTGCTACTATTGCTTGCTTTCATTTGTTGGTGTATCAGAAGTATCAATGATGCTCAACAGATCACTCTCTAAACTCTCTTTCTCCCACAGAGCAGCTAGTGGATTCAAATCACGTACCATTGAATTGGCAGCCCAATTCCTTAACCAGTAAGCCACCAGAGCTCCCTGTGATTGATTTAAGAAAACCAAACCTAAACCCATTGCTGTCATGATGACTCTTTATCAGGTTTTAGGGGTTATACATTTTAACTCGTGCAGATTGCCTCAACTTTTTTTTTTTTGGCAGAGTTGCTGGTGGATTCAAACAAAACTTTTGATTAGCAGCCCAACATAGATACACTGTGTCACCAGGAACTCTTATTTGAGACACGTCATGCACTAATCCTGTCTTATTACCCAATACAGTCAACTCATTCCTGAATGAGATGATAACCAAGGCCTGGAAGTTAAGAATTACAACACAAATTTTTGAGGGGCACAGTTAAATCTATAATAAACTTTAATGAGTAAAAAGTATCTGAGGACCTTAATAAGCTGTAGTGTACATCTGTGTGGACCTGATGTTTCTAAACTTCAAATGAACTCATAAGAGGTGCTCATATTAGTAAGCAAACAGTTATATAGTAAATTAGGAGGCAAAAAGAAGCTAGAGCTTAAAGGACATGCTCAGTGTCTCACAGCTGGTTAATTCCTGAGGCAAGAGTTGTGCTGATGCTTGACTCCAAAGTCCATGTTGTTGTCCTTCAGTATAATCTGCTGTCTATCACCAATTCACCTGTAACTGATTATATGCAAGACTGAGAAAGGTCCTTGTCTCTAGAGAAAAGTTATTTCCTTTTACGTTGAAAGACATCTAGAAGCAAGGGAAATGGAATATTTTGGTTGTTACTGAGAATTTGTGCTACTTCTTGTTGAAATATTTAAAAGATAAATGATGCAATTCATCATTGGCATCATAGAGACAAAGATACTCTTGCTAATCATCTTGATGGAATGAATATGAAAATACACAGGGGTCTAGAATCGAATGCACTGTATTTGCTGTGACTGACCTGAGGAAGCCTGTTCCTCACTCGGCTCAGCAGCCATGCTCCATCCGATCCAACAGCAAGGCCCTGCTCTACCCCTTGCGTTTGGATTTCTTCACCCTGTGGAAGAATCTTGTGCTCCTGCGTGTGGCCAGGCTCTGGGATTTTGGATACACGTAGCCATTGGCATGCTCAAATCAAACATATAAAACAAAACAAAAAATGATGGGGAGGTGTGTTAAGCTTAAACACAGGGCTCTGAGTCCGTTTCCACAAAAGCTGCCACATCTATCAGTATCAAACATGTTCAAGGAAAGGATGATTCCTTATGTTCCCTTGTCTTCTGATATTAACTTGGGTCTTCCTTGCACTTGGGGGTGCGGGGTGCTGAGGAGGGGAGATGTTCTGTGTATGTATTGTTTATGGCATTGCCTTGATGAATGACAGTTTGGTTTGGTTTGTTCCCCTCCCCTTTTGTTAATTCTCTGTGTTCTTTTTCCTTTGTGCTGCACGATTAGGACCCTGCAGTGGGACACAGACCCCTCAGTGCTGCAGCTGCAGTCAGACTCAGAACTTGGGTATATGTCTGCTCTTTTTGTTACTCCTTTTATGATTTCTTTGCTACAGTTGTGTTGAAATACTGGAGCTGTTGCTACTCTTGTTTTTTCCCCTTTTGTTGAACTTCCAGTTGGATAATTTTATCTATTAGTTTCCCTTGTAAATATTAAGCTTTGGGGAGAAAAGTTTCTCTTTGTGGAAAACCCCACAAAAAGACAGCTTTGTTCTCTCCTCCTTTTATTAATCCTTAATATTGCAAAACAGTGCTCCTCTACCAAACTTCACCAAAATAATACCAACACAAATAGAATCCTCAACACAAAGGTGAAGTGACTTTATCCTAGCCATCCCTCCTCCTCACTAACATGCTGCCTCCTCCAGTTAACATTTGTCCAAGATGAGTATTAAAATGTTGTGTCCTGTTTGTTTCCTTTCCTTTTCACTTCCTCGGGGACTTAGTGTAAACATTTCATCTGAATTCATTTGAATAGACAATGTTTTCCACTAAGATAAAAAGCACACTTGTTTCTTCTCTCAATCCTGAATAATCGTAGTGAATTGATTTTGGATAATATCTCTTATACATTACAGGTCATTTTTCAAATGGAAGATCATGATTCACGTTTTAAAAAAAATAGCTTCAGTGTTGAAAATGTGCCCAAAAAGAATACAATATATGGGTATATCCTAGAAACTTAGTTTTATTTCTCTAAGAGGATTGAAGTGAGCTATATTCCCATGTGAACTACTTCTAGTGGATGGTCAAACCAGAACGTGTTCAAACACAGGGAAACTGAGTATGTAGATCTAGTTTTAACTCTGAATTAAATTACTTCATTTGGTAGCTTGAAAGCAACTGTGGTGGAAGTATATATACCACAGAAATCGGTCAACACTTCAAATTAGAGCTTGCCACCTAACTCACATCGCTCCTAATCAGCACACAACTAGATAGATTGCTCATTATATAAATTGTAAATTCTGTAGTAATTTTTAAGCCACTATTTTCCCCCCTTCTGAATATACCAATGGATCCCAAAGTGAGCATTCATTGTTTATTTTTCAATTTGTGAGAGTTCCTAGGGTTGCATTTCTGGATTTTTGTCAATATTAGTGATGGAGAAGGTTGAAGAATGAACTACTTGTTAGATTGAATATCATCTGCTTGTGTCCTTTGTACATGCAAAGGCTCTTGGCAGACTCACAACAACACTAAACCAAAGAGGTATCTCAGCATTTCAAGTAACATCTGTGTTAGTTTTCTCTGTACATCATTAAATTCTGGGCTATAAAAGAATTCATTCGTATATATTGCATTTTGGCTTGTATTATTTAAATAGCCAAGGAATATTGCTCAATCAGGCTCAAATTATAAATGTACAGTAAAGGGAACTTAGAAATGTGATTCTTCAGTATTCTATCATCTTTAAAAAGTGGGAACTGGCTGTCTTCTCTATATGCTTAAATTAACATATCGTATATAGATTGTAGCATATCCTTACGGATAAGGAACAATTGAGAGTGACTGGACAGCACATAACAACAACATTCCAAGAAAATGCTCACTATTGACTATGCAAACGAAACGTTGTGCCCATTTTAGGGAGAAGCTATATAGTTATAGCTACCATCATGCCTGCTATGTTTTACTGCAGAGTAGAACCAATGAGTCATAAATGAGTAATGAAATATGAGACTTAGCAGTTCAGTCAGAGTAGCTTATCTTAGAGAATTTCAAAGAAACATTAAAAACACAACCACTATGAGAAAGTAAGTTTAACCATATTACAATTTCTAATGCTGTTTTAATGAAAATTCCCTTTATTTCCTAGACCTTATGTATAGAGCAGTTTTACTTTCATATATGAGTTTAGCAAATAGACCTTAGACAACAATAGGATCTTTCTAGAGGGAGTTTTACTTCCTCTTCTTGACATTTGGCATGGGATCTATCACAGACCACTGCTAGTCATGCTACCTTATTTTTTTTCATGGCCTACGTGAAGCCAAATGGTCATAAAATAGACTGTGTATTTAAAGCATACAATTTTTGTACATTTTGGTGTAGGTGCACTCTGTGACACCATAAACACACACACACACACATACACACACCCCTCCCAAAATCCTCAAAAGTTTCCTTGCACCTTCTGCACTTCTCACTCCTGTACCTCCCTAGCTTCTTCCAAAATAACTGGCCTCCTTCTTGTCACTGTGCATTTGTTTGCACTTCCTAGAATATGACAAAAATGAAACCATACAATATATACTCTTTTGACTAATTTCTTTTACCAAAAGTAACTTTTTCAAGATTAATTCAGGGTAACCATCAATCAATATTTCTCTCTATTTTTATTGCATACAATTTCATTGAGGATCTACCTCCAGGTTATTTATAGTTTTGGCCTGTTTCAAGTGAGACTACTATGAACCTTAGTGTACAAGTAATTTATTGGACATAAGCTTTCACTTCACTTGAGTATATACTCATGTCCTCGTGAGTAAATCATATGGTGGGTATATCTAAAATGCAGCACATTATCATACTATTTTCAAAGTTATTTCACTATTATATATTCCAATCAGTACGTATTCTTGGTACCACTTGGACTTTTTGAAGTCTTTGTGAAAGTTTGAGGTAGTATCTCATTGTGGTCTTAGTTTACATTTCCCTAATCTGTCAGCTGCTCTGAGGGAGGATGATGGGAAGTCCCTCCCGTGTGATTTACTACCTCTGAAAACATACTGGAGGGTCAACTCTGGGTTAATTCCTACTAGACAGCACACAACAGTAATACTACAACATCTAATGAGAATCTCTGGTACAAGGCATGTTACACTGCTAACCAGTTCAAACTCATCATCTGCTACGAGGAAGAAAGATGGACAGCATCCTCCCATTGAGGAAGAATCCTAGTAGGATGTCTAGGTAGCCAGGCCAGCAGCCAAGACCTTCTAGGACAACATTTTATAATCTGTGCTATATTCTGCCTTGGTAAATGTCCTATCTGCCCTTAAAAGGACTGCTTTTGCTGTTGTTAGTATTCTATAAAGGTAAAATATACCAAGCTAGTTGCGTATGGTATTGAAATCTTCTGTATCCTTTACTGATTTTCTATGTACAAATCCTATCAATTATTGATAGAGAAGTGTTAATATCTAAGACTACACTTTTTGGTTTTTTTTTCCATTTCTCCTTGCAGTATATTTGCTTTTCAAAGTTTGGAAATTTTGTTATCAAATACATCAACATTTTTTACTTTTATATCTCTCTCCCTTAATTTATGCCTTTTCCTTTATGAAGTGGTAATGGAAAAGTGAATTTCAGAACCTTTAAATATAAAATTAACACTAATGCATAAAAACTTTAATGTTTTGTTTTAAGAAAAGGAAGATTTCTCTGTTAGAGTTTTCATTGTTCCCAAATGTTTCTTGAGAAGCTGTTATTCTTTTAGACTCTTGAGCAGTCAATTACAGAGTATTCTCAGTTCTGCACTGTTACGTGTTATGTACTGTTGAGTCAGAACTAACTCATGGCTGAACCTCTAGAGAATTTTCAGGTCAGTCAATTGGGAGATTATCCATAATTCTCCTACAAAGCAACAGTCGGATTTGAACCATGTGCCTTTTGGTAGGCAGTACAATTTCTTACCACTAAGCTACCAGACCTCAATATTCCTCCTTAAATTCTATTTTAGAATGATGAATATGACCAGTTGACAGAGTTGTTCATATTTTGATATTCAATGACTTCTCTAATTCTATAGTTTTATGTTATAAATTCTAGAGAAATTTGCTCCTAAATATCAAAACAATAAAAAGCTATCCCAATAAAATTCTTCACATCTTTTTGTTTCAGGTAATATTGATAAAAACCATGTTTTTGCTTCTTGTCTTTTTTATTTTGCTATTACTCAGAGTTTTCAGTTACCCTTATAAAGTTGGCACCCAGTAACAGAGCCTCCATTAATATTTTCAATCTCTTTAAAAATAGTAACTATTTGGACTCTTGTCTCAGTTCTGAAATTTTGAAATGAAAGGAAAACTCTTGCTCTGGGCCTGTTGATTAGGCCAGAATTGACATTTGCTTCTGTTTGGGAAAAAGACTATAACTGACAAGCTAATTGTTCTGTACTGTATGATATAAATAAAATGAATACTTCCTAAAATTATTTTAAGAATAGGAACATAGAATAATAGAAACTCATTATTCTTGAAGCAATTATTAAAAGACAGTTATAAAGTTACTTCTCAGAACTTTGTAGAAAACATCTCTCTTAAACAGATAAAATGAATTGACAGTGGACAGGATCTGGACAGCAAAACTCACTTTTTCTATGTGGTGGCCCATCCCCTCCCCTTCCTGCTTATGGTGTCCATTTCCAAACTTAGGAGTCAGGCCTAGAGATACCACACCTTGGCCCTGAGTACCAACCACTACACTGGAAAAGAGATTATTCTTTTGTCAGCTTTGAACCTATTTCTTATCAAATGTTCTTATGGCCCTGGCATCCTATGTTTATTTCTCTAACACACGATTTTCTCTGTGACCTTCAGCCAGAGAATTCCAAGATCATAATTTCAGTTTAATCCCTTACCCGCATGATCTTTGATCTTACATCTCTCTAAATTTTCAGTTGAAAAATGCATCACAACAAACATACCCATCAAGATACTTTTACTCAAAAGCTTATCTTTCACTGGATCTCCCATTTCTCCCAGTTAGACCACTCCACGCACCCCTAATTAAATTTGAAGCCTTGAGATAATATCTAGAATCCTCCTCATCTCTAATCCTTCATAGTAAATAAACTCTGAGGATCTGCCTTTACATATTTTTCATTATTCAAACTACATTTCTTTCCATTCCCAGTGCCCAGAACACAATGGAGCATATTATGTGAATCTTAAAGGATAAATACCGGCTGCTTCCACTGGAGTGATTCTCCATGCTTTCAATTTGATTATTGATCACAAATCCCGTAACCATTTTCCTGACTGCGGTTTTCAACCTGTTGCT